TTGTTTGAATTAGTCAAATAATAATATATTTACTCTTTAATTTCTTGGTCAAAATGTGAAATAAATTCACAAAATAATTGACAAGATTTAAAGTTTCCATTAATGCACGATGGAGGTTTCATTTCTATGTTGAAAATAAAACTTGTGCTTCTCATTATTTTCTATATAAATGGTTTGTTAGCATAATATAAAAATACACACAACAATATCAACATGAGTAAAAAATTATTAATATGTCTAGACATGTATGAATATCAATTACTTTTACAATTCAAATATGTCACACATGTGATATGGCAACGAGTAACATCAATAATTGAAGTTCTGACAGACCGCAGACCCATACAAGGACGTGCATGTCCACATACATATACGAAACAAGTCTGTCCTTGTTAGAGCATATTCCACAACAACTTCAGAAAGGGGTACTACTGTAAATGAGTATATAGACTTTTCCATTTCTTGCATAAGCGCGCACTCATGGATATACTGTGTCTAGGGGTGGGCACGGATCGGATATCCGGGTTTTCGAAAGTATTTGTGATTAGCTTTGTATGTTACGGATATCTGATTTTGGTATTTGCTTTGCTTCGGAAAAATACGGATATCCGGAAAAACGGATATCCGGAAAATAAATAGATATTTGCGGATATTTACGAATACTTACGAATATCTCATCCGTTACAAATAATCTTAAAATTTTGATATAAATTTATTTTGTAAAATATTTTTTGCATGATACATAAAATAAAAAGTAAAGAAGTAGTGAATATACATATTTTTTAATTTTTTAAAATTTAAGTTAACAATTATAATAACACAAAACTTAAGGTTTTTTATAATTTTTATAATTTTTCTCTTCTTTTTATTTAATATTTTTATTTAAGTAATAATGTGAATATAATTAATCAAATCATAAGCTATAATAATAATTTTATACATTTAAAATTTTAAATATAATCAAAATATATATGTATTTATATATTTCCGGATCGGATCGGATATCCGTTTCCCAAAATTTTAATATTTGTGATTTGCTTCGATTTTAACGGATATTGATTTTTAGTATTTGCTTTGATTCGAAAGTTTACGGATATCCGGAATTTTCGGATCGAATCGAGACGAATAACGAATCGAATCAAATTTAACGAATAAAATGCCCAGCCCTAACTGTGGCATAGGAAATGATATCATGGCGCGAATATATGAAAGAAAGAAAGAAAGAAAAAACAAGCTGATTACATAAAAAAACACAAGTCTAGAGTAACTAGTTGATGGCATGGCTAAATTATGTTTAATTCTTAGAATTGAGCAACTCTATCTTTTAAAAATGAAAATTATTTCGTTATCACTTTTAACAAAATCATGATCAGTTGGTTTTTAAGACCATTCTATCGATTTTTGCACATGATATCTACATCTAAAGAAACTCGAATGTATGATTTATATATGAAGTTAAGTGTTACAAAAACATTAGCAACTTAACCGTCAAATAAATCAACACTAACCACTAAAGTTATTTTTTTATTTTTTTTTGCTAGATGGTAAATGTCATTACTGTGAATGATGATTTGGTTACAAGACGCTTGCAGCCATAACCTACTTTGACAGCCGGTTTGATTTTTAGGGACCGCAAAAAGTTAAAAAAAATTCCTAAGAATCTAAGAGCAACATTATTGGAATGACTCAAATTATGTCCTTAACATATTTTATGATCATTACTTTTATGTTTAGAGACAAAGTTAAGGACTTTTCAAAATTTGTAAATAATTGGTAGGACTTTTTGAGTGCACAACATCTTTTACAAAACCGGTTTTCAATACATAACCGTGAAGCATTTGTCTCCATTGTGAGCATCCTTGAACCATGGAAGAAGCTCTTATCACACTCAAAAACGTTACTTTATCAAGGGAGACACCCAAATCAAGCATATCCAAAAACATATGCATTGCTTCCTCTGCGTCACCGTTTTGACTATACCTTGTGTGGGAACCGAAATTCACCTCTGTCAAGATTACGTAAATTTAGGAATTTAGAGTAAACCCTAATTTCCCAGAGGACCCGACTATCTGTGGAACCGCACACAAGCAATCAAGAACGCGATTAATATGACTAAGTAAAAAGATGTTAAGAAAAACGAGATTGAGAACAAGAAGGATCTTATTCCGAATTCGCATAAGAGTGGTAGAACAAGAGTAACCTTAGCTGCGTGAGCCGTCAGCGGGATTCCTAACCCTAGCAATCTAAGACTAAAACCCTAGTTGAGGCGAAGCTCGATAACAAAAACGGAAATATTCCTAAGTGCTAAGTTTGGTGGTGAAAGCTCTGAAAACTCGTACTTTGCTTCTATCCTCTGCCTTCTGCTTATATACTCCCTTCCTAGGTAGTTTAGTTCTTCCTTTTCGCCCAGATTCGAGTTTATCGGAAATCTTCTATTTATCTTGATCTTTCCAATTTTCTTGCGAAAATCTTCTATTTATCTGCAAACTTGACATTTATCTTCTTTCTGCGAGTAAATATTTAAACCATCATTGTATCTTTGGGCTGGATTTCATGTAGAGTCGCAAGTGGACTTTATCGCGTTTTTGAGCTGTCCGAGCCGTTTTACGATAAAAACCGTTTTACGATTTTAGACGAGATCGTTTCCTGACACGATGCCGTTTTTATAAGATTTCTCGATTTGATCGTATAGTTTGACAATGCATGATGTTCAGTGTAATCGTTGCTGTTTTATACGATCTTCCCAAACTTTACAAGAAAAGAAGACTTTTACGATTCTTATCGTAAAATTTGAACGGTAAGACGGATCGAGACGAAACAAGAGACGTTTCGACCATGGTTCAGAGCGTGATAAAACTGAAGGACGTATGCCTTGAGTCGAGGACGTGGGAAATTGAGGCTCGGGACGGTCAGCTCGACGTACGACGAGCTGGTCCGAGACCGACCAGTTCGCCGTACCGCGAGCTGAACCGGCTGGTTCGGCTCATCGTACTTTGAACTTGGTTCTGTCGAACCTGCTTGCGGTTTACGGCGGATGCGGTTTTTGCGGTTTTTTGCTTAACTTGGGCAATCGTGTAATCGGCGATTGTTTCGTTCGTTCTTCCGAGATGACGATTCCCAAGTTTTCTGCGGATTTCCTTTTTTCGGAAAATCCTTAAAATTTTATAAAACAACTTCTCATTTTTATATAAAACGTATTTTTATTTTTGCAGAGACTTTTAGCCATTGATTCTGTCGTGACCGATTTTGACACCAACAGTTAGCCCCCCAGGTCGTTAGAACCTTGAGCCTTTAGCGTGAGGTTCTTGCGAGTGGTTAGCCTGTTTTAGGTAAGTTATGCGGAATTAATGGTTGGAAAGGTCCGTTGAAAGTGATCTTCCATTCTCCAGGGAGCGGAAATCGTTTAAGATTAGTGCTGCGCCTTGTGAAGGCTACCTACGTACCCTATTGAAGGGATCAAGCCTTTCGTAGTTCGTTTTGGAGTTAAGGTTCATATGACCTATTTTCCAGTAAGACCTTTACAGTTTGGTTATGTGTATTGGACCTTTGCTGGCCTTGAGACAGCCTCGTAGGCTGTTTGTTCTGGCCGAATGTGGTCGTTATAGTTTTCGGACTGGTCGTGAGTGGTTCTGAGTCCATGCGTCTTTTGCGGCTTTATTATAAATCAGTTTGCATTTTTAAGAACGTTTTTTTATTCGTATGAATGAAGAGGCAAGTATATGAGTTTACGTCTCATAGTCTAACTCTTTTTGTAGATCGCCCTGTTCGTTTGCTCGTTCCGGAATGTTTCAAAATTCGGTAAGCGTTTAGATATGAACGAAGAGACATGCCTTTAGGATCTCGAATTATGCCTTGAGACGTTAGAGACCAGTGTGCTGGGTCTAGGCAAGACCTATGTTTACTTTCGGATTGAGGCTATGCGATGAATAGTCGGCTTTCGTTTTGCCTGTTGCCATTTTAACCTGATTCCATACCGATTTAGAGTCCGCGATAGGTTCTCGGCTTATACGACTCGTCTGGTTGGAATCGAGCATCTCACCGGGGACAATTTCTAAGCTTCCTGGAAGTGCTGACCAAAATTTTGGATTTATTTTATAGTGCTATTACCCTCGTGTCGGGTGTATGAGAGCTATCTCTGTGAGATAACTTAAGTTTGTTTAGGACTGTTGCGTGTTTGTTGTGATCAACAACAAACTTGGTGGTAGATGCTACTGTTGTTTGAGCCTTCGCGAAGGATACGTATGTTGATCGTATAGTTTGACAATGCACGATGTTCTGTCTAATCGTTGCCGTTTTATACGATCTTCCCAAACTTTACAAGAAAAGAAGACTTTTACGATTCTTATCATAAAATTTGAACGGTAAGACGGATCGAGACGAAACAAGAGACGTTTCGTCCATAGTTCAGAGCATGATCGAACTGAAGGACGTATGACTTGAGTCGAGGACGTGGGAGATCTAGGCTCGGGACGGTCAGCTCGACGTACAGCAAGCCAAAACGGGTTAGTTCAGCTCACCGTACGGCGAGCTGGTCCGAGACCGACCAGTTCGCCGTACGGCGAGCTGAACCGGCTGGTTCGGCTCGTCGTTCTTTAAACTTGGTTCGGTCAAACCTGCTTGCGGTTTATGGTGGATGCGGTTTGTTTGCGGTTTTTCTCTTAACTTGGGCAATCGTGTAATCGGCGATTGTTTCGTTTGTTCTTCCGAGATGACGATTCCCAAATTTTTCGCGGATTTCCTTTGTTCAGAAAATCCTTAGAATTTTATAAAACAACTTCTCGTTTTTTTATAAAACGTATTTTTATTTTTGCGGATACTTTTAGCCATTGATTCCGCCGTGACAGATTTTGACACCAACACCTTGTAATAATCGAATTCCAAGAAACCAAGCTTCTCTTAGGCATTTCATCGAACAGATACCTCGCGGTTCTCAACTCTCCACATTTCCCATACATATCAATCAAACTCGTAGCCAATATCACATTAAAATCATCTCCTGACTATAAAAACGGATCACAGTTTAACTCTTTAAGAATCCCATGAAACCATTCCCCTCTCTCAATATCTTTACATCTCCCACAGGAAACAAGAAGATCAACCATAACCATCTCATCAACCTTCACACCATGTCTCTCCATCTCACTAAACACCTCAATAGCCTCTCTAAACCGATTATTACTCACCAAACCAGACACCAAACTCCCCCAAGCAACACCATTCCACTTCGGCACATCTTCCAAAACCCTCAAACCACACTCCACTTCACCACAACACATATACATATGAACCAAACAAGTGGAAACATACATATTCACAATAAACCCATGAACACAACTCCCAAACTTAACATCCCTTAACACAGAACAAGCTTTAAACACATAAGGAAACATGAAGTAATCCGGAGAATAACCTTTCCCAACCATTTCTTGGTAAAAGGTCAATGCTTTGTATTGGTTTTGACTGTTTGAGTAGCCTCTGATCATAGAGTTCCATATGTACACGCTTGGGGAATCGATGGTTTCGAAAATTGATGTCGTGTAGGTGAGATTTATAGTCTCTGGGGAGGTGGTGCAGAAGTCTATGAGACGGCTTAGAGGGATGATGTTTTTGATAACAAAGGATTTGATCATGAGGGAATGAAGTTGGTCTAGTTCCAACATTGTTCTACATTTCTCGAGTTGGGAGAGAGAAGGAGAGAACGAAGACGATGAGAATGAAGTCGAGATGGTTCATGCGTCTATCTCTCTCCCATTCGGTCTTCCTCTCCTTTGATGACACGTGCCCTTAAGGACGTGATTAAAACACCTTTTAATTAACATACGTTTTTCCCGTTTCCTACTCGTTTCGGTTTAAACAAATGATTATTAATACCTAAGGGGTGCGGATACCGATAATGATGCTCTAAGAATTAAATCCAAACTTCCAAACAATGGAAAGCATGAAGTTAACAGATCAAAGTAGAACAGGAAACAACAATTTAAACCACTAAAGTTATTTACGTAACTTAACTTTTTTTTCGAAATTTGACCTGTAAAATGTTGTTGAGATCATTCTAAGAAAGTTGTTGCGTAAAGCATTACCAAATTTAGCAAAACGTTGTCCAAACTATATTACGAACAACTTTCAGAAAATGTTTTAACTATTAGCGAAATTAAAATATTTTAAATAATATGTTTATAGAAAGTTATACAGTGGAACAGATACAATAATGTTGTGACAGACCAAAAATAGTAAAGAGACAAATGCAAAATTTAATTATTGAACCTCAAAGTTGTGGTTCTGATCCAATCTGCCCAAAGCTCTCTCCACTTTCAAAACAGGCAACCCAATTTTCTTGGTTGCGTTGCCATCAAAACGGGAAAGAGGCAACTCAATTAATTAGTTTTCCTACGTAAATGGAATAAGGGAAATCTTATATATATACAAATATATAATCATACAAAAGATAACATTTTTGTATTTGTTTAAATTATAATTGCTTGTGTTTGCATTTCTGTCATGTTTATGTATCTATTATATCAAACGCAATATATAGATACAAGTTTATGTATCAATTCTTTCAACTTTCAAACGCAACATTTGTGGTATATATATAGAGACATACAAATATATAAATAAACATAATCATTTTCTATTGAATAAATGGTATATATGCACATAATATATTTAATAGTTTTCTTTCTTTCTATAAATATAGCATATGATTAAGTTACCGTCATCTTTTCTCATTTGGAAATTGTTTGATTTTCAAACCTATCATACAGTATTTGGCTTTTGTGAGAGCAAAGAGGTTAACAAAACATGTCTCCCTCTGTACTATTTAACATTTACATACATATCTCTTTCTTTCTCTCTCAAACTATATAATTGGCTTTAATTTAAGCTGGATCTGAAAGAATTGAAGACTGATCGATGTTAGCTATCTTTTCGGCGAGGAACTCGACAAAGTATGACTGCTGCGATGGAAAGTCAAGAGTTCCTTCTAACATCGTGTGAATTCATCACTGATCCAGAGGAAAAGGGCTTCCTGGATTTCACTGAACACGGCGATCTTCTTGACATCATTGACTTCGACGATCTGTTCGGTGTCGCCGGAGATGTACTTCCTGACTTGGAGATGGACCCTGAGATCTTAGCTGGAGAATTATCCGATCACGTGAATGCTGCGTCGACGATTACAACGACGTCGTCGTCCGAGAAGACTGATAGTCAAGGGGAGACTAATAAAAAGGGTATTTGGAGAAAAGGTGAAGAAGTCGTCAGCAAAAGAGACCATAACAAGACTCATGTGGTGGTTAACTATGACCGTAAAAGGAAATACTCATCATCTGCTTCTTCCAAGAACAAGGGAATCCGTAACAACGAATTACCGAAGCCAAAGGTGAAGGTATTAACATTATCTATCATTTATGATTACATAATTAGACCCTAGCCATACACACCCATCTAAATGGATTCGTAGTTTTCATTTTTAGAAGTGGATTATTCATGATATCATCCCAAATTTTCTGCAGTTTATTATTTTCAGTAATGATTTGAAACACTGTGTAGGAAGTCACGTGAATCTTTNCGAAGCCAAAGGTGAAGGTATTAACATTATCTATCATTTATGATTACATAATTAGACCCTAGCCATACACACCCATCTAAATGGATTCGTAGTTTTCATTTTTAGAAGTGGATTATTCATGATATCATCCCAAATTTTCTGCAGTTTATTATTTTCAGTAATGATTTGAAACACTGTGTAGGAAGTCACGTGAATCTTTATAAGTTTATATTATTTCTAGTAGACGAATAATACTGAAAAAATAATCATGTTTTTATAATGCTATTTACCAATCAAAATCATATATGTTAAATTTAATAGTATTATTTGAATTTTTGAACTTATAATAATAAATACTGGTTATATATATATTGATTGTTGGGAAGTGTGTAAAGAAGGTGGATTGGACACCAGAGCTACATAGGAGATTCGTGGATGCAGTGGAAAAGTTGGGAGTGGAGAAAGCTGTTCCTTCTCGTATTCTGGACCTTATGGGTGTCCATTGCCTCACTCGTCATAACGTCGCTAGCCACCTCCAAGTATAATACTTTCATCTTCTAATATTTCATTTCATAACTAACCAAGTTAACTACGTGTTATTCATGTATTATATGTATACCAGAAATATAGGTCTCATCGAAGACATTTGCTAGCTCGTGAGGCCGAAGCGGCTAATTGGACACGCAAACGCCATATCTACGGTTTAGACAGTACCGGAGCTAATAATAAAAACGGATGGCTCGCACCGGCACCCACTCTTCCGCCGCCCGCAACTGTGCCATCGCCACCTGTTAACCACCATCATTTTAGACCGTTGCATGTGTGGGGACATCCCATGGTTGACCAGTCTGTCATACCGCACGTGTGGCACAAACACTTGCCTTCACCGTTGTGGGTCTCAGAAACTCCCTACTGGCCTATAGTGAGTTCTCATTTCCCCTTTTTATGTTCTCGCATACACACTTTTTAATATAATTTTATCACATGTTTTTTTTTCTTTTAAACTCAAATAGACTTTATTTATGTTTAAGCCAGAATTAACGTAATTTAATTGAACTCATGATCAACGCCTACCAAATATTTACGAATAAATTGCTTAAGCACTGACAGCGAGTTTTTTTTTATTTTTTATTTTTTGTTCACTGACAGCGAGTTATTATTCGTTTATCGCATGTAGATTCATAACGGGACGACTCCGTATTTTCCGACGGTAGCTACGGTAATGATCCAACATATCTAAATTTGTCTTCGTATATGTATACCGTTCTGCTCTTATATATGTGTGTTTAAGACATGTTTGCTGATTATGTAGAAGTTTAGAGCACCAGTTGCCGGAATCCAGGCTCCGCCGCCGCATCACATGGTGTACAATTACAAATCAGATCTTGGTTTTGGTGGTACTCGTCCTGTTGTGGACTTACATCCNTCCAACATATCTAAATTTGTCTTCGTATATGTATACCGTTCTGCTCTTATATATGTGTGTTTAAGACATGTTTGCTGATTATGTAGAAGTTTAGAGCACCAGTTGCCGGAATCCAGGCTCCGCCGCCGCATCACATGGTGTACAATTACAAATCAGATCTTGGTTTTGGTGGTACTCGTCCTGTTGTGGACTTACATCCAGTAATTAAGATTCTAGTAAATAATGGATATTGATTGTTGCCAAGATTGGCTTTTCTTAATTTGCTAATTTATAATCATGTTTGTGTATATATAGTCAAAAGAGAGCGTAGATGCAGCCATAGGAGATGTATTGACGAGGCCATGGCTCCCACTGCCGTTGGGATTGAAGCCACCGGCTGTTGACGGCGTCATGACGGAGCTTCAACGTCACGGTATTTCCGAGGTTCCTCCGGCAGCGTCGTGTGCCTGAAGCAGACAAGCACGTGATCAAGCCGAACCCAAAAAAATTCGACGACATGTCTTTCGATTCTAGTATCTTTTTTTTTCCCAAGGGTTGTTTTTGTTGTGGCCCTTGTTGAGCGTTGAGAGCTTCGGGTGTCTTTCTTGAGCGTCACATAACTAATAAAGAGACCTTTTCATATATGTATGTACACTCTCTATAACGCAAATAAATGACATATAACTAATAATGAGACCTTTTTTTTTTTTTTTTTTGACAACATAATGAGACCTTTTCATATAACTAATAATGAGACCTTTTCATCCTCTCTAGCCGTCTAATAGTTGTATTCTCGTCTAGAATTTCCTAAATATATGAAAAAACTGTTAAGAAAGCATCAACTAAAACAAAAAAAAATGTAACGAAAGAAAACATCAAACTTCTAAAGCAAGAAAAACTAGAAGGTCAAAATGGCCTGTTTCCTTTTAAGTGATTTTGAAGTAGAACAATTAATTTGTTATCCAAATAATACGTAACTAGGATAAGACCCGTGCCTTGCGCGGGATGAAACTATTATTTTTATTATGTTTTTAAAAATGAAACAATAGTTCGGTTTCACTCGGAATAGAGGTGTTCAATCCGGATATCGGGTTTCAGTTCGGCTCGATTTTTTGGTATTTCGATCAATTAAATATAACTACTATTCTAAATCTATATGTACTTCAGTTTGATTTGGTTTATATACCATCGGTTTTCAATTTATTCAATTTTATACCAAAAACATAATTATTTAGTTTGAGATCATATTATATATTATACAAATATATAATATGATCATATTTAGAGTCATATTGTCACAGAGTCATTTATTAAAAAAATATTATATATTTAAATAAAAGAATAAAAAACAAAAAAGGCTTCTATCATCTAATAAAATGATCATATCTAGAATTAATATCAAAACACTAAATTTTGAAATAAAAATAAAAAACAAAACAGAAGCATGAAAGAATTTTTTTTATATTCTTCCATATTTAGTGTTCATCAAACCAATATGTCTTCGATTGAACACAACTCTGTTTGTTTAAAGATAAAACAAAGTTATAAAGAATTTCAACTAATTGTTGTCCATCAAATTTATAATCTTTACTTCAATTTAGTTACTGTTAAAAAAGCAAAAGATCAAAATAAGAAGTCTTAGTTGTAATAAATTGTTAGCTATTTACAAATTATAATTATAGTTCAACTCATGTAACAACTAGATATTCATGCGTCGTTATAAATATATATATATATATATATATATATTTACATATTTCAGTTTAATCGATTATAAATCAAACCATATCCAAATGCTATGGTTTTTATAAAATCACATCAATTCGGTTTGTATGGTATATACCAAAAATAACCATATTATCGATTGTTAATATCTTTTAAAAATATAAAATTAAAAAAGAACTAAGATATTTAAATCATTGATAAAAAAAAATTTCAATGTGAAAAATATAATAAGTTTATAATTTATAAATGTTCTTGAAAATTTATTGAAAATTTTGAAATTAAAATATTTATGTAATCTTATATGGTATATAGTTTAATCTGTATATATATATTTGTTTTATTATTGAATGATACTTTTTACTTATATGGTTTTAAAATCATGTATATCTTTTTATAATAAANAAAAAATCTAAATTTTAATTTTATAGCTAATTTGATTGTTTAATTTATTTTAATAATATAAAATTAAATAAAAATGATGGAGGATATATAAACTGTTATCAAATATTTATTATTAGAATCATTAAGTGTCATATATATATATTAGTCATTTATGGTAATTCCGTAGGTTTTATTTATGGAAATAAAATAAAATAGTAATTATATCTTAGGAAACAATCATTAAGTGTCATTTATATATATTAGTCATTTATGGTAATTCCGTGGGTTTTATTTATGGAAAGAAAATAGCATATCATATCATTATATCATATAGTTTGATTAACTAATGTATCGAGCAACCTATAAAAATCCAATATGGACTTACCTATTTTTCAATTGAATCTAATTGACTATCTAATTGAATGCATTGGGGTCTCTTTTAATTAATACAAAATTGAGGTTACATCTTTTCAAATGTTCCTCAATTAATATATAGGGGATTAGAGCTTGATCCACTCGTCCGAACAGGTGTTTATTTTTACTAATTTATATTTTATTTATATATTATATAAATTAACTATTTATATTTTAAAATTTATATGAATACAAATTCATATTTATATTTTGATCATGGTTTTTGATCTATGTATGAATTAACATTTGTAGAGTATAAAAATGTAAGAATCATTATTTTGAGCATGATTTTTAACTCGTATATTTTTATCATATTTCTGACCAAAGATACCAAAGATATATTTTCTTTAAGTATAGCATAAAAAGTAAGATTATAAATACATGTATTGTATATGCTAAACCAAAGATACATTAAATTTGTTCTAGAATTTTATTTATAGATAAACTAAATTATAGAAAATATTTATTTTACATAAACGTTAGGGGGAATGATCCTAGAGACAAATGTAACTTATATTACTACATAATAGTTAATCTATCTTATTAATATGCATTAATGTTAATAGTATCGATATGATATTTTTCAAAACAAATATAGCTATGCAATATATAAATTTAATTTAGGAAATATTTTACTAATTTTTAAAAAGATATAGAAGACATAAAGTTAGGAGTATACTATGTAAAATAATATGATCTTTGTTGCCAATAAACAAATAAAAGAATCAAAATAGTAATAGTAATTATTATTCGAACCCAACATAATCTACAAACCCATTAAAACAAAAATGAATACTCAGTGCAAATTGAAATATATAATATGCAAATATGATGTCAAAATTCTATAATAATGTTTTTTCTAACTGGGAGGAGTTTCCGTAGACTCTAATCTCTCACTCGATAATCATATCAGTAAGCTTTCTCATTGGAAGAATTAAACCAAAGACAACTTCAATTGATATTAGAATGTGCAAAAGTCTAGGACGAGAAACAAAAGAAAAACGGAATATTAATTCTGACCTGACGCTCTGTATTAGTCCTGGGATATGCCTGAACCGAACCGGTGCTTAGGGAGATCGGTTATTGTCTGGTTAATGGAGAGGAACCGATCGGCAAAGCTTTTAAAATAAATCGGTTTTGTCATCGGTTCGGTTTGGTTCTCTATAACCGAATGGATAACCGAAAATTTAACCTAACAATATATACCTAATCTAAAACAAAATTAACCTAAGTGTCGAAAAATCTAAAATTAAACGGCGTAACCTAATCGCCTCTCCTAATCTCTCTTCCTCAAACACGATCTCTGATCGAGCTTTGTCTGATTCTCCGTCCAGACCATCTTCTCTGCTTCTTTATATCATCTCGAGTATAAGGTGACAAGGTTAGTTCTCATGTCTTCTCTTCTCTCTGAGTTTCTGTGTAAATCGATTTAGAGATTGTGATTTTGTGTGGTAATCGAATGGGGGTTTTAGATGTTAAGGTTTGTGTCGATTAATGAGTCAATTATCACTCCTTGTCTTTATTTGTTTGAGTAGTACTGATTTTAGATGTTAGGGTTTTTCATTTTTTTTTGTTTTGAAAAATTGGGGATTAGTGTTACATAGTCATATTGTGTTAATATGAAATTTCCAGTGACTTTTGAATAATATTGTAGGATTTTTAAATAATATTGTTGTGAATTTCAGTTATATTAGTTAGTTTGGTCTGCTATGTTTGGTTAGTTTTGTTACTTTTGTATCTATGTTTTGTGTGATCTAAATTTCTAAAATGTTTATCTTGTGATCGCAGATGTCAGCTTGTGAAGATAACCATGAGTTATTTGGAGAAGACATTGAACATATGTCAATCAAGGAGGTGGAAAGAAACGATCTGCTTCGGAGAGGTCAAGCACTGATCTGCCTCTTGCTGCAAAGAAAAAGCAAGACCACCGAACAGACGTCTGACAAAATTTCATTCACAGTGAAGATGATCGATGATCCAAGCATCAGCAACTGCGTTACTGTGGCCAAGCGATTGGATGTGACTCCAATAAGAGTGGGACATGTGCGATGAAGAATCACATTGGTCGATGTAAGATGTTCCAAGTCTACAACGAATCTGGAAAACAGCAGGTGTTAAGTGGAGATAGTAGTGGTGTTTTGACAACCGTGAAGTATGATGCTACTTTGTTCAGGAGATCAGTGAACGAGATGACAGTGCTGAATGAGGAGCCATTCTCTTTTGTCGAGTCTGAAGGGTTTAGGAGGTTCTGTCACAAAGGTGACACTATTTCTGAGAATTTGAGTTTATGTATTTCTGATTGGGGTATAGATAAGGTCTTCACGGTGACAGTAGACAATGCTAGGGCAAACGATAAGGCTCTATGACTGTTTGCAGAAACCTGTAGGGGGATAGGCTCGAATGCATTAGTTAAGGATGGTTCATTGATGTATATGCGTTGCTGTGCACATATTCTTAACTTGATCGTTAGAGATGGGTTATCTGAGGTCAAAGAGAGTATAGCTATTAGAAACGCGGTGAAGTATGTGAGATCATCGGGTACAAGGTTGCAGTCGTTTCAGTTGAGGGTGCTGACAGTTAAGGTTAGTAGAGGGAGCTTATCTTTGGACTTTATAACTCTTTAGAACTCCACCTATCTCATGCTGTCTGCTGCTTTGAAGTTCAAGGTTGCATTTGAGAAACTCAAAGCCGAAGACATGCTGTATAATGATTATTTTATGGAGTTAGAGCAGAATGGACAGACACGGATTGGACCCTCTACTTCAGAAGGGTGGGAAGAGGTGCAGAGGTTAGTGAAGTTTCTGAAAATCTTCTTTGGTTGCACCTTGGCGTTCTCAGCATCCAAGACAGTCACATCTACCATTTGTTACAATGAGATTGTGATAATTGAGAGGAACTTGATTGCACTGAGCAATAGCAGGGATGGGGTTCTAGATATTCAAGCAAGGGAGATGAGAAACAAGTTTGAGAAGTACTGGGATGGAATTTTCAATATGAACCCGCTGGTCATCATTGCAAGTGTGTTCGATCCAAGGAACAAGATGCAGTTTGCTTCTATCTGTTTTGATAAGCTCTATGGTAAGGATAATGTGGAGAGTGCTCATCTGAGAACCTCAATAAGAGCACTGATGAAATCAATGTATGAGGAGTATGTGAGCAAGCTTGTCCCTCAATCGCAAGGTGATAGTCAGAACAAC